CGCGCTGGGGGATGTGTCTCTCTCTCTCTCTCTCTCTCTCTCTCTCTCTCTCTCTCTCTCGTATTCGTCCTCTTTTCATGCAGAAATAGTGTGTGTTGGAAACAAGAAATATTTCGTGCACTTCTGCGGAATGAAAATGCAAGAGGAAAGTCTGATGAAATGCAGAATGTGACCAACTAGCCTAGGCCTACTGAAAATATGGACAACTTCACAGCCACATTTTATAAAGAATATAATTTTCCATGGAATCAAGAGCAAATATATATGAGCTCCAAATCATTTGAAGTATATTTTTATTATATTAGTGTCATTTTTTTAATAATACTTTGTTTTGCCCATCTAAATTAATGAGCAGAGAGAACTATAAGTAAGCTATTTGTTATGGATCTGAGCTCCTTTCTACATTATTCATTCATTCACTTTTTAGCAGTCCAACATAGCAACACTTAACTAATAGGTATTTACACACTTTAAAAATTACACACTTCACTTATTTTTTTTTAGATTTAGTTTTTCCCCCAAGTAAATCTTCTCTCTGATTATGTATAATGAACATCTCCAGCCATTCAGTCCACTTAAACCCTTCCAATTACTTTCAATGGCCAGCAAGCTCATATTCAGATCTGTCTCCATCCAATCAACAACTGATGGATAGAACCAAGCCCCTGCCCAACATTTGTCCTTTTCTAATATTCTTTTTTCGCTGAGATATACATCATAATCCAAATATCTGTTGCTACTTCTGTTACATCATGACTTTGAAAGGAAAGTTCACCCAAAAATAAAAATTCTGTAATTTTTTTTTTAATCATCCTGTACATTTTTATGTTTTCTTTTGAAAACAAAATGATTATTGTATGGCTATTGTATGGCTTCAGAAAACATGGAATATGGAGTCATATGGATTGTCTTTTTTTGCCTATGGACAGACGTTGCCACTACAAACTGTTGTTGTATGGAACATAACTGTGTACAGAGTATTTAAATTCTCCTATCAAGATCAAAAGAAAAAAATAACAACAGAATTTTAATTTTTGGGTAAACTATTCTTTTAAGCCCAAGTGACAAATTTTGAAGGCTCAATAATCTGCTTGTGAACGCAAGTATGTGAAACGCAGAGTATAAAAACCAGTTATTGTATTAAAACCAACAAATCACCGTCTTATCAGCATTTCTGCAAATGGTTACTTGACCTGTGCAAATTGTCAAACAATGGTTATGAGATATCATTATTTAAACCAAGAAATCTTGTTTCATATCTAACCACACATGAAAGCGCACGAATGTCACTTAGAGTACAATTTCCTTTCAGAGTCCGTGGGAAAATATGTTACATAAAGCTGTCTAATGTCAATTATGAAAAATAAAAATAGCTGAACTGGTGAATTATGTTTCTCTTCCCTGTTTCACACACAGAAAAAAAATATAATTTGAAACACTTATGAACCAAGATCTAACCCTAGTAAAAATAAAATAATAATAATAAAATGCCATAATTCACTTAAAACCTATTTATTCCATACTAAGTGTACTGCATTAAGCCTAAAATGTGTTTTAACATCACTATTAATAAGGATTGTATGATTTCAGATATCAGTCTTTAAATGCAAGGTATTTAAATGTACCTGAAGTATACTTTCATTAGTTCCACTTTAGCATAATCAAATACTTAAGTATATTTTTATTTGGTCTTCATCACTACTTCTGCACAATTAAAGTGCATTAAGCACAAAATGTGTTTTTCCAATTTAGCAGACTTTAAGTATACCAAAAGTACAACTACAGGGTATTTTTATTAAGCACATATACAGGTAAATATGCAAATGTATTTCAAATACATTTTAGTATATTTTTTTCCACTAGGGGAATATTCACTTTTACGAGAGATAACGTGATGATGTGTTCTGCTTTCAGCTTCCAAGAGCCACATTGAATCATGGGAGGACAAAGTGCAAAATGTATTTTCTTATACAGTAGAGATGGTCAACTAATGAATCCACTTCTCTTTAGAGCATGTGACAAAACAGAGAACTGGAAATAATATTACAAATATTGTGAAAAGTTCACTTAATAAGACATGACATTCATAAGGTCAGCTAAAGCAGTTAAAGCTAGAAAAATTGACATTTTTGTCTACATGGTGCATTTTATGTATGTCTGTTATGCTGTTATAAGAATCGCATTGATTTACATTACAAGCTATCAGAATTTCATCTTATTTTTGGCCATAAAAATAACAACATCTACACAAAAAAAATAGCAATATTTTGAATAAAACTGATGTCTTTTTCTACTTTGAGCACAAGCTCCATATTCACACTATATTAAAATTCAGTGACTCTGCATTTTCACAAAGTAAACAGTATTGTATCCATAGCTGATGAACAGTATTGTCCCCATGAATGTTGCTGAATGACTTCATGGGATGTCATTGCGATGCGATTAATGGCAAAAGTAACCCAATTTACCTGAATTCATTCTCTGGTGTTTTAGCACTTATTGACAATTTGCTGGACGGTAATGAAGAACACTCATTGCAGCTTATTACATGTTATTTATAACTACTGGCTACTTACGATGTTCATATTTACTTCAGGGTCCAGTCCTATCTTGTCCTCAACAGGCGGACTGCACTGAATGAGCCCAAATGTAAGCAGTACCAGAGACAACACCAGCCATGACATCTTTCTGTCAAACATGTACAAACAGTGAATTAACATACAGGGTCTCCCAAGAAGACACACTAATCTAAACCAGTGTTAAAAAGCTATGCTAATCTTCAGCAGCCCTCAACAGATTGTTTAGTGTTGCTCAACATGTGACAGGTGACTGTAAAGTAAGGATACATAACATGAAATTACAAGGTCAATGTAGCTAAATCTTTGTTTGTTCAGAAAACAAGCTGCCAAAACAAACACTGCTGAACATCACTACTGTACTTTATTATATGAGAGCAGAAACCAAATCCAAAAATATGTTTGGAAAATGTATACTTTTTTAAAACCGTAAACATTTATGTCACCAAAAAATATCGTATAAGGTAGGCTATTAAATAGACAATAGTATTTGTCTCCATTGTATCTATGAGTTAAAGCAAGGTTTAAATGTTTAATTTTACAACCCTGCGTTTTCACAAAACGAAAGCAGTTCACGTAACGTTAGCACATCTGAATGGTTTTGAATGACAGGTAAGTTAGTCAAGCCAGACGCCAATGCATTTGACATAACAACAAACGCACGAAAGTCAGTCGGTGCAAACAAAACGTATAAATCACTGTAATGAATTACATAGTAGCTTCACACCTTCATCGTAACACACTTCATCGTACAGTAAATTCGTTTATTGCTAATTCATTGAGTTGCCACAACGTGATTCCTTGCAGCACATTAAAAAGCAGGATCGTTTTAAGCTGATCGAGACTGATCTGATGGAGTGTGTTTATTAAATGGTCATAAGCACTGAATAACGAAAAAAACAAGCTCATTTAGTGAAACTCACCCAACTTCGGTTGAGACCTCCATAGCAGCGTACTGAAATCAAAAGTGTGAAGCCGATAGCGATGTAACGCTTTAACATCAGCTGACAATGACATCATGACCTGATTGATCACTGTTCTTGAACGCCTTTAATCAATCAGTCCCCCTCCTGAAGAAGTGGGATTCATTTATGTAATAGCTGCTTTCTTCCTGATTTAAGCACTCCGTTATTATTCTAATGTTTGTCAAACTGACGACGTCATTAGGTTACTTTTCTTTTTGCTTGTTTGTTTTTTAGATGAGACTGAAAAATGATAACTTGTGCATTGCAGTGGTCACTGAGCCAATTGTAGGCTACAATAATAAATACACTCTGTCTTCAATGTACCTGTAAAACCTGCATATAACTTTATGTTATTATTATTTTGATGTTTGGACATGTTGTGCATACACGCCAGTAAAATATTGAAAAACGAAGGGAATGTTTTGCTTGGCCAACTCAAACATTTCAGCCTTTCATACTTAAAGGGACAGGGTGCTAAATCGAGTGTGCTCTTCAAACGAGCAAGATCGCTTTGCTATTTTACATAAGCAGTTTTTATGTACCTTTTCTAAAAATGTCTCGAGTTCTAATAGTTGGTGCTGGACTTACAGGCAGTCTATGTGCCTGTCTGCTGCGGAGGGAGCTGCCCAACAAAGTAAATATAGTCGTGTGGGACAAATCTCGGGGTGCAGGTTAGCATCTTATCTGTTTTCACTCACAGAATGTTTATTTTATGTACTGATGTGAAACACGTTATTGAGTGGCGGGTGTCTCGTGCGTTTAAATAATTGAATTAGTGGTATGTGCAGCAAACTGTCATTCATTTAAGGTTAAACACAAGTCAAAACGCTGTTCTAAACTGGTGATCTGCTGACCTATAAAGGAGGAAGGTGAGCAGACAATAAGCAGATATGATACGAGGTAACTTCAACTTTATTATTAGAAAGTTTTCGACGTCAAATTCCTTATTGACTCTTCGCCTGAAAGAACAGACTGAGCAGGTCCCCATTGTATTTCTATGCACGATAAACAACCTGGAGATAAGTCTTGAAATTTGTCCTTCAAGACAAGCAGATGATTAGAATGTGGATGATTAGATGTTAATCAAACAAAATAGTTAACGCTGACCCATTATAGCCAAATTACAACACTTGTTTTTAAGTAATTAAATAATGCCATTTTTTTTTACTCAATATTGGTAAACAATTAGCTGTAAACGTACCCATTAAGCTCACCAAAATCTACATTGAGACATTTTTAGTGCACAAGATATTGGTTTCAGAACAAGAAGTTGTTCAAATAAAATATTAATCTCTCACACAAAAATATTTAATTTTATTTTAAATTACAAAAGCATTTCAATTAAGATGTACATCATTAAATGCAAAAAGTCTGGCTGTGCTTAATGGGTACATTTTTGTACCCTTTAAGCACACCCCTTTTCCCATTAAGCTCACATCATGTTTTATTACAAATTCTTGTTTATTTTAAACAACCTTTTTAAAGAATAATTGAAAAATGTTTTATTTGAAGGTACAAAGTCAATCACAAAAAAACAGAACACTAAAATCAAGCAACAAGGCATTCAGTTTGATCAGTTATATATTCATAGTGAAGTGTCATTTAAGCACATTGCAACATCTAGACTAGTCCACATTCCGCTAAAGAACACATATTCAAAATAGGGGTGTGCGATATTGACAAAAAATAATATCTCGATATTTTCTGGGATTTTATCGATGACGATAAAGAGTATGTTATTGTGCTGGTACCTTAAGGACTGCCGAAGACAGCTGACTCCTAATGTTTTTAATATTCTTCATATTCTGTGTGGTGGTCAGTTCATACTGATAGAAATGAATCTTTTCCAATTTTGAAATGATTTAAAACATGAAAAAAAAAAAAAAAAAGACAAAATGTGAAATTAAAACCGCCAGCAGTTGACAGCAAATCACTCTTAATAAGTGAGTCATTGCGATTGAACCGAATCATTTAAACGGTTGATTCATTCAAGAACGCTCGATAATGTCAAATCGCACATCGTTAAAACAACAATTACGATATTATTGCAGACGATATATATCGCACACCCCTAATTCAAAAATGAAATAAAACAAACCAATAAAACATTTAATTCATGGGGATGAACACAGAAACTAGCCTCATTATGAAGCCTCTTATTAAATAGATGTCAACTTATCTGTAGTCTCTTGTGTGTAAACATTACACAATTTTTGCCACGATTTTCCACCGATTTACAGTCTGGAGAAGTTGACACTAGTTGCCAAAGGTCAGAGCCAGTCTTGTAGATTTGAGTTGACATATTTAATAGAAAATCACGTAGTGTATGATGGTCACGGACTCCGGTTATTTAGCTTCAGACTTTGATTCCATCCAGTCGGAGAAGATCAAACATGTTTGATATTTTCAGCAGATTTTAAAACACATTGTTTTTATTTGTCAAGTGTCTCCTAGCAACAATGTGCACATTTCTGCATGAGTTTGTTGTGATCGGAAGGAATTTAATGTCTGGTAGTGTGTGATCCTCAGTCGTTTAGTGTATGATGCCCAGTTTTCCTTTGTGACTATTTACAAAATCGGTAAGTGTATGATGCCTGGTGTTTTAAAAATCTGTTCACATTTTAAAAGTCATGTATTGTATTCCAGCCTTTAGTCGCTTTTTTCCTGGACAGATATGACAGGTTTCTGATGACTCCTTCTTTGAATGGACAACATGCCTCTTTCATCTTTGGGCATAAACTATAGTTATGTCTAGATTTGTCATCTTAAAGATGTGAAAAAGTTATTAACCATTTTATAAAGATTAATTTAAGTGACAGCCATCAGTTAATATTTAAAGTCTGTTTATGAAGTATTTACATAGACGTTCAATGTGGAAGAGCTTAAAGGGAGCACACTGAGCTTAATTGGAGCAGCAACAATTTTTAATATATTTCATATTTATTAAAATGACAAGATTTTGCTAAATAAATAGACTAGGTCATGTATTAAGGTCATATATATTTTAATATGAACAACTATTATTAACAATATCTATGAAATTATCTTCATTAATCTTATCGATGTCACTGAAGCTGTGTGATTTTCGTAGTAGTGCACCCTTTAAGCTCACCTTACAATAATATGAAACCTTTAAAAATAACAGCAGTGTAAAACCACAGACCAGCAATAAACTGTAAATTTATAATATTATGGATTTAAAAGTACAAGCCAGTAATGCCTGTGAAGTAATAACAGTTTTATACAGCAAGTCAGCTAACTGTGTTCTTTAGCATCTGCGCTATGTTGCTAAAACTATCTTTTGGATCTAACTGTAATTATTTACCACATCCAAGTTCCAGGTTATAATATACAAAAGTCTGAACATTAATCTCTTAATTTTACAGTAAGTTGTGAAACTTACCCAAAATAAAGGCTTAAACATCTAAAAAATACACATTTAAAGAGCTACTTTTTTGGCGAAAGTTTTCAGACAGCTTTCAAAATGACCTCCAGACAGTGTGAACACATGAATACCCATATCTCAGTGTGCAATTATCTGATTGACTTGAAATTTGATCTGCTGCACTGTGATCTGCACTGTGAAATTTGATCTGCACTGCACTGCACTGGATCTGCTGCACTGTGCTTCACTGAAACCTGGCTGAGTGAAGCCATTCTGGATATCATCTGCCGGGCTACCAGCTGTTCAGGGCAGTGTTGGGCAGTAAGCGTTACTGTAATTTGATTACGTTTTTAGTAACGTAATCAAATGAAAAGTAGTTTCACACGTTATAATTTTCAAAATAATAATTAGAGTAGTTACAAGCCGAGGTCTCTATACGTTACTGCCGCGTTACATTGCTGACAGAATGCAGTGTTTTATCATCTAGATTGTAAAAAGGGTGTAGCAAGCAGTGTCGAGTCCAGTGCCAGTGGATTAGAGACCTGCTCCCACGAGACCCGATGGCCGACGCAACAGTATGCGGCGCGGGACAAGATGGGCGAGTGCGGGTGCGGGCGGGTAGACACTCGTGTGCGGGGTGCGGGAGAATAAAATGATTCACGGGACTCCCGCACAATAGAAATATCTAAACATAAAATATCTAAAACAAATAAATTGTAATTCATCTATTGCACAAAAGCAACAAGAACTAATATAAAATAAAAATTATTAACAGGCGCAAGCATAGGCAGAGTTTCTATTTAGGCTATAACACGTGTTTGCTGCTTTGAGCCATGCTGATTTATGGAACGCAATGGCCAGTCAGGAGTGCAGTGCTGAAATTTGCGTGCTCACGAATCCTCTAATTATAACACACGAATTGTAGACATTATGAAAGATTCATCATGCAATGAACTGAGATGCCATCTCTTTAGAGATTATAAAAGCAGTGCTATTTGCTGGCATTCTGCCATGCCAAACCATGTACGCAGCAGCCTATGCTTGCTCAAGTTAAAAATAACAGTGTTTTGTGAATGTTGATGCTTTAATAACAAATATTTATCGGGAGCATTTATGCTGGGATTTCATGTAAATTTCATGGATGTAACCACAGAAAAGTAACGTGATTACGTTTAAAAGGAGTAATCAGTAATTTAATTACATTTTCAAAGTAACTTGCCCAACACTGGTTCAGAGTTAATGGGGAAAACGAGAGGTGGTGGATTGTGATTCTACATCAATGAAAGTTGGTGTTCAGATGTAACAATGCTGAAAAAGGTATGCTGTCCTAACTTAGAGGCATTCTTCATAAACTGTAAACCTTTCTACTCGCCGTGGGAGTTTTTCTCTTTCATTCTCGTGAATGTGTACATTCCCCCGGACGTGTGCGTGAATGCCGCGATGCAACAGCTGGCCAAACAAATAACTGAAATGGAGCAAAGGTACCCAGACTCTATTTTAATAATTCTTGGAGATTTTAATAAATCGAATCTCTCCCGTGATCTGCCAAAATACAAGCAGCATATTACATGTCCCACCAGAGACAGTAATATACTGGATCACTGTTACACCACAATAAAGGATGCATTTGTAACTTCATATATCAGTTTCTGTGAGGATATGTACATCCCCACCAGGACATTCTTATCATTCAATAGTGATAAAC